GTGTGTGTGTGTGTGTGTGTGTGTGTGTGTGTGTGTGTGTGTGTGTGTGTGTTGCTGCAGAGCTCTTCTCTGACGTTCAGGACACCAGTGCCATGGCGTACAGCGTTGATGATTCAGATGGAGTGTGCTTTGTCCCGTCGTTCAGCGGGCTGCAGGTACAACCTCTACACCCTTCATTTAGTCACTTTATTTCACTCGTTTTTAACTAAATAAAACTTGTGTTTTCTGTGGCCTATTTGCTGTAAATGTTTGAACCAGTAGAAGAAGCGGTTTTCTTAAAGTTTTCTGTTTCTTTGTAACACGGTTGTCTCTTGTCTATTTTGTTTTTTAAATCCCTCTGCCCTCCGTTGTGAACGGGCTCTTGTAAGTGTTTCCTCCTGAGTGTTTGATGTTTGTTTCTGCTTGACCACACAGCTATGCCTTGTACCACTCTAGTTCTGTCTGCACTCAGAGACACAAAGACCATTTAAAATACTTAGTTCCAGATGTTTTTATCATTATTCCAATTTCCGTTTTGTCAGCTGATGTGTCTGTGCTTGGTTAAAGGCTCCTCTGAATGACCCCAGAGCTTGTGCTTCTCTCATGGGCCTCAAACCTTCTACAACCAAAAACCATCTGGTCAGGTCCATTCTGGAGTCTGTCGCCTTCAGGTGGCTCTTTTTTTTAAAGAAAAGTTTTATCTTTCAGCATCCTTTTGTTTCCACTCTCATGCTTTGTTTCTTTTACTGGCGGCGTCAGGAACAAGCAGCTGTACGAGACGATGCTGAGGGAGACTCACATTCCCATCACAAAGATCAGGTGAGGCTTTCTGTGGTCACGTAGGAGAGGCTTCAGATCGGAGCTTATGGTTCTGCTAATGCAGCCCGGTTCTGTTTGGGTAATGCATTATGGGGAATGTCTGTGTTACTGTAACTGTAAAAGAAGTTCAGGTAAATGGTTGGCATTGATCACTGCCTCCCTCTCAGGGTGAATGGTGGCGTTTCCTCCAACGACTTCGTCATGCAGCTGACGGCAGACCTGTTTGGTAGGAAGGTGGTCCGACCTCAGCACAGAGAGATGTCTTGTCTGGGGGCTGCGTTTGTGGCTGGACTTGAAGTGGGTAAGCAGACACGCGTTACATTTACAGAAAAATAAAACATGTTTTCACCACAGGTCTGTCTGGAAATACTCCATGAAACACTGCACGTAGTGATGAATTATGTGAACTCCACCTTTACTAATATTTCATTTCTCATCTCTGCTATTTGAACATCTGAATGTGTAAAGGTTTATTTCTGTGTAGCTCAGACACTTTAATGTTCTATTCTTTCAACATTTTCCTGCTCTAAATAAAGCTCAGCTCATGGCAGCTTTCATCAGAAGTCCTATTTCTGGAAGTAGAAGGGAATTAAGGAATCTGTGTTTGGTTCGTTCTTTGGTATTTACGTTTCACAATAAAATTGCAAACAGAAAACAACCGTGTTAGTTTTTTTCTGTTTTCAAATGTAAAAAAAATGTCAAATCAAATTAATTAAAAATCCACAGTGTTTGAGTGTTTTTCTTTAGCTATTTAAATCCAAACTAAAATATATGGTTGCTGTTTTAATATGTAGTAAAACTGCTAATGCAGAAGAACCCGTCCAGAGGACCTATACAATTTTTTTTCCATTTACTGGTCTTTATGACTGTATACGATGGAGTATTAGGGTCAGACTAAGATATTTTTTTACTATGAGAATAAAGTCAAAATATTACATGACATGTCAATTTTTCATTCCTGGGTGGGCTTAGTTCTGCTGTGGACAGCCTCCAATGTGTGTTACTGTGTTTATAAAGTAGACAGCAGTTTCTTTTGGGTCACTGTTGGTGTAAAATGCTCCCATCTTCATTATGTGACGACTAAATTCATTCAGTGCAGCCATTAATTATAATGCCATATGGCTTCAGTATGTATCATACGCCACTGTGCATTGGGCCCTCTGCTATTCTGCTCCCCACATCAGAGACGCCGTGCTCGACAGAGTTCCACTCCCTCCAAAATYTTGAGGACCACTTTCACCTTCAGCAAAACCTCTTTGACCACTAGCAGACAGATCCTCATCCACAATTCCTTCCAAGTCCGTGTGGTTCTTTCTTCAAAATAGACAGTCACAATAGTTTCAAAATCCTGCTACTGAAAATAATTTATTGCTGATCAAGTATTTCCTTATTTGTAAAATGACACCAAGTTACAACTTCACAAAATGCTCAATATTCCTCTTTTAAATACAGCAGTAAGACTGCTTTCATGTAAAAGTTCTCATAACATTATCACTTTATTCTCATATTACTTTATTCTCATATTATCACTTTAATATCATATTACTTTACTCTCATAATATTATCAATTTATCCTCATAGTACTGTATACTCACAATATTATTTTATTCTCATATTATCAATTCTCATTGCATTATTACTTTATTCTCATATTACTTTATTCTCATTATCACTATTCTCATACTATATAATATTTTCACTTTATTCTCATAATATTTTCACTTTATTCTCATATCACTTTATTCTCATATTATTACTTTATTCTTATAATAATATCACTTTATTCTCTTATCACTTTATTCTGTTATTACTTTATTCTCATGTTATAGTTTTATTCTCATATCATTACTTTATTCTCATAATATCACTTTATTCTCATAAGATTGCTTTATTCTCATATCATTTTATTCTCGTATCACTATTCTTATATTACTTTATTCTCATAATATTTCACTTTATTCTAATAATATTTTCACTTTATTCTCATATCACTTTATACTCATAGTATCACTTTATTCTGGTATTAATGACTTTATTCTTGTATTAGACTTTATTCTAATACTATGACTTTGTTTTCATAATATTATGAATTTATTCTGGTAATATTACTTTATTCTTGTATTATTTCTACTTTCTTCTGGTACTGTTAAGAATTTATTCTCATAACATTACAAATTTATTTTGGTATTTTTATGACTTTATTCTGGTAATATTAAGACTTTATTTTCGCAATAATACAACTTAATATTATGACTTGTTAAAAAAAAAAGAATATCTTGTAGCCTGGCCTAATACTCTGTAACTGTCAAATATCATTAGAGCCTCTAAAATGAAAACCTCTCAGTGGATCAGTGATAGATTAGAAAATTCTTTCAGGCCCTTTAAGGATCTGGGGTCTCATTTATTGATTGCGTGGAAACCATACTTTTAGCGTGGAAACCATACTAAAAGTGATCGTACGGCCAAAAGGCGGAAATGGCGTATGCCAAAAAAATTCAGATTTATAAAACAGTGCGTACGCACGTTTCTGCGCATCTTTCCTTTATAAATCACAGCCGCACGTCAAAGTTTGCGCACGAGGTCCCGCCTCAGGTTCTACCCTCTACACGCCCACATTCAACCA